GTTGGAACATCTCGCAAAAAATATTTTCAAATACCTTTTGATACGTTTTGTATGCCCAAATTTTTTAAATAAAATTGTATCTGATAGGTCTCGTGACAAAAATAAAATATGAAAATACTTCATAAGGCAATATCTCCGAAAAGGGGTGGTGTACGGAATTAAAAATTTCTCCAAATTTTTTTTTCGGGTCAACGAACTTTTTGGTGACATGCTGGTCATAATCCGTTTGGGGGCCGATTGACTCTTTTTAACCTGCTAGAGCCTTTATTATGATTTCACTTTCTTGGTAATGGTATCCGTACGATATCTTTCCATATGTCTGCATTGATGTTCTCTAAATTATTTTAACATAATACATTTTATTATTGAAAGTAATGCAATGAAAGTGAATATGTATTTATTCCAATGTCAAAATATTATATACATATATATAATCAAATATGCTAATAAATGTAATAAATTTTTTTGGTACAATGGTTATTTCGAAATTGATGGATGACAGAACAATCCTTCTTCACGATATTAATTATTAATTAGAATAATAATTTGTAAACGTATACTTATGAAGATATACGTGATTGAAAACTAGTTAACTTACACTCAAAAATCTTGAATCAAATATAGCGTTCTAGGTAAGAGATCAAACTATAATAGTTTTTTATATTTTAAAAATCACAAAAGATCAGCATTAATTTTAAAAGAATTCTTATAACAAATTCACTTTGAACTGGCACCTTCAATAATATATCAGTTACTTTCCATGATAACATATTTTATTATTAGATAATTAATTGAAGTTTTAAAGATTTCAATGAAATAAACTACCAGATCTGGAGACACGGAGTGTCTCGGTAAATAAGTAACCTAACCAAATGCTATAAAAACAAAATAATTATAGAGAAAATAATTTGTATTCTTACAGCGGAATGTGTTTTATAGCAGAGAATTTGTGTTATAAAGCAGAAAATATTTATTTATTCTAACCTCACTTACGTGTTCGTCTGTGCCATCGATGTGACAGACTTCCTAAACTCAATCCTTTGTTATTGTTCTTAATCCGACTTTAACGATCGTACAGACCGCGATCGATATTTATTCTAACCTCACTTACGTGTTCGTATATGCCATCGACATGACAGATTTCCTAATCTCAATCCTTTGTTATTGCCGAGACTCTTAATCCGACTTTAAAGATCGTACAGATCGCAGCGATCGATATACAGGGTGTCCCAGAATGAGTGTCAAAAATTACACGAACAGCTAGAGCGGATTGAACTGAGTCGAAAAGTTTTCTACCGTTTCGCAATTTTCGCAATATTCAACGAGATAATATTTGGTAAAAATTACCGAATACGTGCGTCCGCCCGGCCTACTACTGCCAACAGTGTACGCCCATGATAGTTCTGGCGCGCGGACCGCGGAGAGCGGGGATTGCCTGACGAGTCCCAAACGTCGTGACTCGCCACGCAATCCCCGCTCTCCGCGGTCCGCGCGCCGACGAGCTATCATGGGCGTACACTGTTGGCAGTAGTAAGACGGGCGGATGCACGTATTCGGTAATTTTTACCAAATATTATCTCGTTGAATATTGCGAAAATTGCGAAACGGTAGAAGACTTTTCGACTCAGTTCAATCCGTTCTACCTGTTCGTGTAATTTTTGACACTCATTCTGGGACACACTGTATAGATTTATAGATACCCGTCGCGACCACATTTATCTCTTGCGCCAAAAATTCCAGAATGTATTTCCTTACTTCGTAACTGACAACAATGACGACGACGACGACGTTTCTTAAACAAACAAACACCTAGACACCCATTTCCTCGACGGCGAACACCTAGACACTCACTTCCTCGAAGGCGAACACTTTAGACACTCACTTCCTCAAAGGCGAACACCTAGGCATTCACTTCCTCGATGTCGAATACGTAGACATTCACTTCCTCGAAGGCGAACACCTAGACACCTACTTCCTCGACGGCGAACATCTAGACACTCACTTCCTCGAAGGCGAACACTTTAGACACTCACTTCCTCGAAGGCGAACACCTAGACACTCACTTTCTCGACGTCGAACACGTAGACACACACTTCCTCGAAGGCGAACACCTAGACACTTAGTTCCTCGAAGGCGAACACCTAGACACCTATTTCCTCTACAGCGAACACTTAGACATCCATATTCTCGACGGCGAACACCTAGACACTCACTTCCTCGAAGGCGAACACCTAGACACATAGTTTCTCTATATTTCGATATTTTAATTTTAATATATATATATACTATATATATATTGTAAAATAACATTATATATATATTATTAATAAGTATTTCACATTATATTGAATATTTTATTTTTAATTATAACATTTAAACTGCGAGCGCGTCATATGTAATCAAGAAGACTAGAACCAGGAGAACTAGCGTGGTGGGGATAGGTCAAAAAACGTCCGCGATTATTCATACAATGCGCAATGGCATTGCACATTATGTGAAAGTTTGCGCATGCGCGCGTCGGTTATAACCAAGAAGTTCTTGTTCTTAACCTTTGTTTTCCCCTCATCCGAGGGACACACTTAAACAAAAAATCTTCTTAAACCATCTTAAACAGAATGTAAGTTGTAAAAAGAAATTATACTGCACATTAAATGCAATGTCAAACAAGGTTTGTTTGACATGCGCAGTGACGAATTGAAAACGACTATCAGAGCGACAGAGAGGACTAATGAAGCGCAAGAGTGGGGAAAGTTATCCGCCGTCACTTTTTGGCCTACCCCCTCTACCAATATTTGACCGAGTTTACTGTCCTGGTTCTAGTCTTCTTGTATGTGATACACCATGCAATACTAATCTGCTGGTTAGATATAAGATAGATAGAGTGAGATGATAGAATAGATAGAGTAAGATAACACATAAAGTCAAAGGCCCTCTATTATCGAAAAAACGAGACGGACATTTCTCTGGTTGACGACGTTAATAATAATAACGACGTATCTTAAAATGAAACGTGAAAATTCACAGATCCGTACTTTTCGTCGCAATATCTCCGCTCGTAGGACACGTAGAAAAAAATGAAAGCACTTTTATCATACAATTTAAGTATTTGCTATCGATTGAGCGTATGTAGAACTTGATCGGTTCACTCGTTACTGAGATATGATCATCTCAATCCCCCGAATTTCTCATATTCGCGTAAAGGATGCACGGCAGTGTCGCGCGCTTGGCTTAGCGCCGAGATACTACCGTGTCTCCAGATGGTGGGGAACAACGGTGGTGTGGCAACGGTGTTACTCGAAACAAGGAACGAAATACAAGCAAGAAAAATACTAAAATATAGCAGATACATTAAACTATTATTTCCAAATTTTCCCCATTATTTCGAATACTTTCAAAATAACTTTATTCGACATTTTGTAATAACTTTTTTTATCTATAAAAAAACACATAATAAAGTACACTTTTAAATTGTTATAATTGAAGCCTCTTCGTTTTCCGCTCAATATATTTTTATACTGTGAAAAACTGCGTTCTACGTTGCAAGAAGTAATTAGGCGCGTACATGAAAAATTTAAAATCTTGTTTGAAAGAATTTTGTTTTTGCAAGATCTTGGAGAAGATGCTTTTATTGTCTTGTTAATTGTCCCACCGCGCACCGCCACGTTCCCCTCTATCGATGCTTCACGCATGACGAGTGGTAGTGGGGATAGGAACGTGCTATACGATTGACTCGAATTGGTACGTCCGTCGGCGGAAAATCCGAGCTCTAGTTATAATATATGGAGAGATACTTGTGATTTCATATTCACTTTTACTTAAAGTCGGAATGATCTTTGTTGCAAGACGATTCTGCAACGGAAGTAGATAGAATTTCATTTAGTGCTTTCGCTTGCTGTCGGCGCTCCGAGACTAGCCGAAGCTTGCCGAGCGCGGCGGTTACTTGGTGGGGGAAAGCGATTTCCCGACCTGCTGTCGATAACTGTGTGCAGCTGTGTCGAAAGTCTCGTGGCGCTACTTGTCGCATACGTGACGTTATCCGCACTGCAGACCTTGCGGGAAGTGACTACTTTTCGCACGGTCTAGTTATTTCTCGCACGGTTGTCGGTAAATGGCTACTTTTCGCACCGCAAACAGTGCGGGAAGGAAACTTTCGATGCACATGTAATGAAAAGTCTTATGCCATTTTTCAATTGACGCAATATTTAACGAGATATTAGACCTTAAATATAACCGAATAAGAGCGTTCGTCCGGCCTACTACTACCGAATATCCGCCATCGTTAGCTTGGCGCGCGGGGAGTAGGAAACGTCTCGCGCCGCGCACACCGCCGCGAGCCTCTAAACTCGGACGACACGCCTCAGACCATCCCCATTAAATATTGCGTCAAAAATGGTATAATACTTTTCGACTCAGTTCGGTATACTCTATCTGACCTTGATAGCTGATTCAATTGGTCAATGACACCCTGATGTATAATAATTATTATATGTACATTTTAAATACATTTTCTAATTATATAAACTGTACGCTGATTACTGCCATACATGAAACATAATTATGAACCGAAGCTGAAATAACAATTGCACAAATTAATCATCAGTTTAACAATGATGCTAATAAAAAGAACTGCAAACATTTCCAGTCAGGATAATATTTTTCGCAATAAGTTAATGATTGCGTTTGAAGTTCGATAATAATTATCACACAATTTATATAATAAGATGTATTATATTTAAAATTCACATATAGATATTAGATCTAACTTCGATCTCATTACTGACCCTTCTCTATTTGACTTGTTCATATAGCAGTCTAGTTTAACTTTAACATATTGTTGAAAATCTCTTTTACCATGAATGTTGTTTGTTCGATCTTCATCCTTTGTAGGTAAGGAATCATCAGGAAGCTCATTTCTGGGAAAGCAATCATTATCGTTGTTACTTAATCCCTTTTGCGGTGTGTTAGAGGTATTGTTTGATTTAAAATAATAAGCATTACTGATCGATGAAGACGATAAATTCCTCATACATTTTTGTAATTGTTCCGTAGTTATGAAATCCTCACCGTTTGATAAACTGATGAAACAACAATTTTATATTTATGTATATGACATGTGATAATTTATTTATTAATATAATATCTAATTATTATACTTTTCTTTACCTCATAAACATCTCTCTCGCCGCTCTTCTAGCCAACTTCTCATCTTGTGTCATGTCTAGACAACTTTTTACGTCGTAATAGTTATGCTCCGTAATACCACGACCAGTTGCCAAGCATTTTCTGAGAATATCAGTCGCTTCTAGACTTCCTTGCTCCGAGGCCTTTGTTAGCCAGTAAACACCCAACTTTGCATTTTCCTCTTTATCAACATCAAGCTCTTGAAATATAATTATAAATATATAGTCGTAAATCATATACAAAGAAATATATTATAATTTTTTAATTAAATTTATATTTTATTATAGAAATATAAATTATATATTGTACAAATAATATATGTAGTTCAAAAAGGATTAAATAATATAAGAAAAACTTTACTGTCAATTGTATATTCCAATTTACCACATTGTTCCTCCAACAACTGCTTAGCCAAAATTACTTGAGATTCTGGACAGCCGTCTTCTGCCAATCGGGAACGTAAGCGTCTAAGAGAACCTTTAGGCCCATCTATCAATAGGACTTAGAATTAGCTATTTAATCAGAAAAAAAAATCAGAATTCATATTCAACATATTATGTATATCACGTATACATATAGATATATGTATATACATGTATATACAGGGTGTCCGTAAGTGTCGGAGCAAATATCTCGCAACTGGTTGAAGTTACAAGAAAGTTTAATAAGAGAAATTTGTACGACTCCGAGTCAGCTACAAAGTGCATGCAAAAATTTTTTTTATACTCGTTGCTTTTTCGAGTTATGTAGGTTAGCAGTTTTTTTAAATGAATACCTATAATTTTTTTTGCATATTCGTATAGTAGGAAGCATTTGCAATCAAAATTATATCTAGTAAAAAATTGCTGCTATGCATCGTTTACGAAATAATCGACATCTTAAGTATTAAAGTAGTAAATTGGATTCTAAATAATTTTGAACGGGGTTTAAAATGTCAAAGAGAGGTTGAAGAAAAAAAACAAACAATGTTTTTTTATAGAACATTTATTAACCCATAAATTGCTCGAAATTTTGACCATCATGGTCAATACAACATTCAACGCGTTTTATAATATGTTTCTCATTGTTGACTGCAGCATTTCTACTGTAATGCCTTCAACAGCTGTAGTGATTTTATGTCGTAAATCTTCTTCATTTTCAGGAACAGTTGCGTAGACAATGTCTTTAATATATCATTAAAGAAAAAAATCGCAAGGTGTCAAATCCGCAGATCTCGGTGGCCATCGTGATAGGGCCATTAGTACCTATCCAACAATTAGGGAACTTATCATTTAAAAAGTTGGCTATAGCACGTGTATTATATGATAGAGCCCCATCTTGTTGAAAAATAATGTCTCGAAATATTGATAATAGAAGATTGCGCAAATAATCTGAAAAAGTTGTTTGCAAAAATTCCAAATATCTGTCACCATTAAGATAATCATGGAAAAAGAAAGGTCCAATAATTTTCGTTCCGATAATTCCGCACCATACGTTCACCGTAAAGGCCTTTGCACGTAAAAAACGCTTTTTTACGTGCAAAGGCCTTAAATCTGCGTTGGAAACCTCTTTTCATATGTGGATTCACATGAAACCAAGTATGCATGTTATGTTGGTTTTCCATACCACAATTTGAAAAACACGATTCGTTAGACCATAATATTTTTTTAAGAAAATCAATGTTATTGCGATAATTAAGCCAGTGGCAGAACATTAATCGGCGATCTGTATCTCCTTCATGTAAAGTTTGCACTAAATTATCACAAAACGGTTTAAAATTCTATTTCTTTAATACAGCATGCACGTAACTTCTTGATAGTTGTAAATTACGTGCTACTATTCTTATGGATGTACGACTGTTTTCAATAGAACTTAATAGCACATTTGTCTCTTTCTCTTGGTCTGTTCTGATTGTACGACGTTGTCTTGTTATCGATCCTGTTCGACGTAATACATCTTCGACTCGCCGAAATGTACGACCATTTGGTATCCTTCGTTCTGGATACTTTTGTTGATAGAGTAGCTGAGCTTCATTTTCATTATGCATACTTAAATGCCACATCTCGAGCGTATCACACTTTTCATTAATATTAAACATCATTATCTTTGTAATCTACAATATGATATGTATTCATTGAAAAGACGACTGACTGATTAACAAATACTGCACTGAATTTCATACTCCACGTTATACAAATACTTTATTTACAAAACAAGCAGTCGCGTATTTTGAGTTGAAGGTCAATAATCCTGTTCAACATAACCGACTTCAAAATATTAGTTTGAATCTTGTTTTTCAAATTGTGATATGGAAAATCAACTTCTTAAGATTCAATATCTAAGATGTCGATTATCTCGCAAACAATGTATAGCAGCAATTTTTTTACTACATATGATTTTAATTGCAAATGCTCCCTATTATACGAATATGCAAAAAAATTATAGGTATCCATTTAAAAAAACTATGTTAACCTACATACCTTGAAAAAGCAACGAGTATAAAAAAAAATTTTTGCATGCACTTTGTAGCTGACTCGAAGTCGTACAAATTTCTCTTATTAAACTTTCTTGCAACTTCAACCAGTTGCGAGATATTTGCTCCGACACTTATGGACGGACACCCTGTATATATACGGGGTGTCCAGTAAAGAGACAATTTCCGTTTAAGGGGAGATTCTTAAAATAATTTTGAGACGAAAATTCTAATACCAAAATGTTAAGGCTATAATAACTTTTAAATTATAAGCGTTTAAAATTAACGAATCATATCGTCTAAAGTTGGCGCGCTCAAGAGCGGCACAATGCAAAGTACTAAACGCGAAAGCTGACTTATCGAAAGTTGTTTTGCATATCTGCTCATAACTTCACAACTTTCTTTACGTGTGAAATTAGCCTCTTTGTCATATTAAGTAATAAGAAATATCAATGGACCGCAATATTGGCCAGCGAGATCTCGACTTAACTCCATTAGATTTTTCTCTGGGGACATTTAAAAAATTATATTTATCGGGAACCAGTACGTAATCGGGAGGACTTACACAATCGCATTATTGAAGCGGTTGCAAGCGTATCACTCGATATGATAATCAATGCGCAACAAAGTTTATTGAGACGCACAAGATTATGCATAGATATGAATGGAACATAGTTCGAACATTTATCATAATATACATAACTTATTTTGTAAATTAATTATCATAAGGTTAATTAATTATCATAAAGTTGTACAAATAATTGTTCATAATTAATGATTTTATAATATTCATATAAGTTCCTAGTTTCTCCTTTATTATTTTAATAAAGATTATTTTAATAAAATGTTTAAAGTGTATTTGAATAATGCATTTATAGAAATATCAATAGAATAAAACCTTATATTCATATATGTAATCTCATAAAATCAATACTGACAAAAGAAGTGATAAGTTTTCTCGTTTAGTACTTTGCGTTGTACCGCTCCTGAGCGCGCCAACTTTAGACGATATGATTCGTTAATTTTAAACGCTTGTAATTCAAAAGTTATTATAACCTCAACATTTTGGTATTAGAATTTTAGTCTCAAAATTATCTCAAGAACTCCCCTTAAACGGAAATCGTCTCTTTACTGGACACCCATATATAATTAATACAAAGAATAAAATGACTCATTATATAAAAATAAATAAATGATGTTAAGGGCGATATGAATCAAAAAAGGTATTTGTTTAAACAATAAAACATTTACTTAGTCACTACTTAATTTAGTCATCGCTTAACAATAACACAGGCCCACAAAAAAATTGTTTTTTTTTTGTGCGATGAATGCTACTATAATATTTCTATGTATTTTTTGCCGCTGAAACCGAATCCGTAACCCGTTTGATCCCTACACGTCAGGATTTTTTTTAACCTCAAAAAAACGGTAAGAGTACCGATTAGGGGACCTTCTCCCAATGACCTTGACCTTGACATATGTTGTCAAGGTCATGACCTTGAGTAACCTCCAACAGGTTTTAGCCGTCGCTTGTCCTTCGTTAAAAAGTTATTAACAATCATAGTTTTAAAGTTATGATCATATCATATAACTTTAAAACTATGATTGTTAATAACTTTTTAACGAAGGACAAGCGACGGCTAAAACCTGTTGGAGGTTACTCAGGGTCATGACCTTGACAACATACATATGTCAAGGTCAAGGTCATTGGGGAAGGTCTCCTAATCGGTACTCTTACCATTTTTTTGGGGGTTAAAAAAAATCCTGACGTGTAAGGGTCAAACAGGTTACGGATTCGGTTTCAACGGGAAAAAAAATACATGCAGGAATATTATAGTAGCATTCATTGCACAAAAAAAACAATTTTTTTTGTGGGCCTATGTAATTCGCCTTTAAAAATGTGTACACATTCATATTTATTATCTGTTTTTTATTTATTATCTTGTTTTAAAGGCGAATTATTGTTAAGCGATGTCTAAATTAAGTAGTGACTAATTAAATGTTTTATTGTTTAAACGAATACCTTTTTTGACTCATATCGCCCTTGACATCATTTATATATATACAGTGTTCGATCTTATCTGGATAAAATTATCTAGATGATCATCTAGATGAAATTTTGATGCCATCTCATCTTTATCTAGATAATAAAAATATTAATTATCTTTATCTGCATTTTAGATGAAAAAAAGTATCATCTTTATCTAGAATAATGTTTAGATACTTTGGTTCATATTTTACATTGCTAAAAATGTGAAAATATTATAATTTTTTCTTCTATGCAGTTAATGTTTACAGAAAAATTTTCAGCCTCAGGAAGAGAGTGAGTGCATCTAATATAGCATATATAATCATTCACATTGCTCTCAAATGATCTTTTTATTCCTGCACTAGGACACTTAATTCTGATTGATTAACCTAGAGCTGCCCAAAGTCGGTGTTTTTTTTGCTCGAAATCGAAATGTATCGTGTCGGTATTCACGCTCTACTGTTCCTACTTCTCACTTCGTTGATGTTTTATCGTAGTGCGCGATGCTCGATTCATGGATGACACTAATCCGAAATCGAAAAAAGTTTTTGACCTGTGTCTTTCACTATATTTAAAAGAATGTTATTATTAATATTATAAGATACACTATTATTCATAACCGTAATGATTATGACATGCTTGCTTTCATGCAACTAATATAGAGGAAAAGGACTGTATAGAATTTTTATGTGTTCTTCATTATTTTTTTGAAAATTGTGAGAGACATTGTAAGAGACAAACGAAGTATTATCTACATATTAAAATTGTAAAATTTAATATTTCACGGTGGTCCTCGATTGAATTCAACCCTGACTTTCCTGCACCTCTGATTTTCCTTCTGGAATTGGTTTTGGAACATTTCAGGACCATTTTGCAATAAATATTAAAATCGAAGAGTGAGCACTTTTTTTTAAATCGAGTTTTTATGTTTCAATGTGAACGAATTTTAATTATTTTGCATATTTTTTAAAATTATATATTTACATGCGTTTGTGCGTGTGCCTGTAT